AAAAATGTGTATGTATATATATAAAAAACTCACTGCTGTCAAGTTGAATCCGACTCATGGTGACACCTCCTTGGGTTTCCGAGGCGGTATCACTAAGGAAATAGGTTGCCTTCTGAGGAGTAGCTGGTGGGTTTGAACTGCCAGCCTTCTGGTTAGCAGTCAAATGCCTTCGGCACTATGCCACCAGAGCATATATGCTTGTGTGTGTGTGTGTATATATATACATATGTATATATACACATATACATATATACATGTGTGTATCAAAGATTATTAGTGGTTACCAAGGGTAGGAGGGGGAAAGGGGAAGCTTTTGTTTGGGGGACATTCAGTTTATGCTAATTGTGGTGGGAAAAGAATAGCAATAATGGTGGCACAACATGAAAAATGTCATCGATGTCCCTGAGCTGTAAATGTAGAAGTTGTTATGTTGGCAAATGTCTTGTTGTGTATGTTTTCACCACAATAAAAGTAAAAAAAAAAAAATAATAATAATAAAAGCATTCTTTCCATCTGGTTTATAACATACCATTCCATACCAGTTGCTTTCAAGTCAACTCAGACTCATGGTGACTCGTGTGTCAAAGTAGAACTGTGCTCCACAGAGTTTTCAGTGGCTGACATTTCAGAAACAGATCACCAGGTCTTTCTTTCAATGAACCTCTGGTGGACTAAAACTGCCAACCCTTCGTTAGCATCTAATCACACTGACTGCTTGTGCCATCCAGGGACTGTGGCTTGGAGCATAATTGCCTCTAAATGTAATACACTGTAGCACTTTCTATTACTCAAGGAGCTCTCATGGTGTAGTGGTTAAGCATTCAGCAGCAAATGAAAAGGTTAGCAGTTTGAACCCACTAGCCATCCCATGAGAGAAAAATGAGGCAGTCTCATTCCAGGAAAATTTACAACCTTAGAAACACAATGGGTTCATTCTACTTGTCCTAAAGGGTCACCATGAGCCAGAATTGAGTCCATGGTAGTGGGTTTGATTTTTCTGGTTTCTGTTTATGAACTTTAGTCAACAGGTTATATATTTCAGAGAAGATGCAAAGAACTTAAGAAGCTTTGTCTACTATTAACAGTTTTAAAACAAAAAATAAGGACGCTTTCCACACTTTTCAAGGGAATTACAAATTAAAAAAAGGTTAATCATGCATCTTATATCATCATATCAAGAATATGATTTAAAATATTCTAATGGTGTAATTATTACTTTATCCATTCATAAAAACTTCCAATTATGATATAAAATCAACTATGAAAAAATCCAACCTTTATCTTTGAAAACTTATATGCTTTCTGATCCAAATCAAACGTACCTTATCTTTTCATCTAAAATATTAAGTTTGTTAACATGAAGGTTTTCTACAAGAACCACATGACTCTGATTTTCATTGATTCTGCACTCGGAAACTTTAGTCGACACAACTTCGATTTCAGTTCCAATTTGGGAATTTGGCTGAAAATGACAAAATATATTAGTTTTGTTTTGGTTTTTCTGTTACTTCAGAACATACCTCCTAAAATACTTCAGTTATAAGGGAGGGTATTTAGAAAAAATGCAATTTTCATGTTTTGCTGTTCTCCCCCGGAAAAAATTGCCTAGTTCACAGAGAAAGTTTCAAGCATCATTGCAGTCACATATTTACATAGTATTGTAAAACCCACCAGCCACTCTTCAGAAGGAAGATTGGGCAATCTACTCGGTAGAGATGCCCCCTCAGAAACCCAAGGAGGGATTGCTATGAGTCACAATCGACTCAATGACAGTGAGTTTGGGCTTTTTTTTTTTTTTTTTTGGTTTTAAAAACTACAACAGCCATCTGTTGTGAAACAAACAAAATACGAAATAAATAAAAACACATGCTGGGTTTTTCAAAACAGGTTTCTTTTACTTCAAGTAAGGATCACAATCACTTTAAGTTTTCCCTTGATGACAGAGAAGAACAGAAAAATAAGAAGTAGCTGAAATGGACATTTTTAGGCTTAAAATATTTTTCTAATATAAAAGATCCATCAATAAAAGGCTGGTTAAACTATAGTTCAAAACAGTGGAACATTATACAGCAGTTAAAAATGATGTATCTCACACAGTCAACCACCCTGATGGAGTGAGTTGTTGGACCTGTGGGCTTGATATCATGGCTGCAGGGTACAACAAGTTCAATTAGCATAACTTACTACACAAAAACACTGTTCCACATTCTACTTTGGTGAGTACCGACTCAGGTCATAAAAGCTTGCCAGCAGGCTTCCAGGTACAACAATTGGTCTTTCTTTATCCAGAGCAAAGAAGAATGAAGAAAAGCAAAGACTCATGGAAACAATTAGTCCAGGGGACTGACTAGTGGATCATCTGAACCTCAGCCTATATGACCATGAGACCAGAAGAACTAGATTGTGCCCACCTACCACTGGCAACCACTCAGAAAGGGACCAGTGCAGGAGATCCTGGATAGAGCTGGAGAACAATGTGGAACAAAACTAAACACATAAAAAGAGACCAGGTTTACTGGTCTAATAGAGCTTGGTAAAATATCTAAGACTATGGCCCTTGTGCAATAGGGTAGCCACCAGCTACATGTGGCTACTTAAATCTAAAATTTAATTAAGTGATATGTGACATTTCATTCCTCAGTCACACTAACCATGTTTCAAGTGTTGAATAGCCACATGCCCCAGCAGCTATCACAGTGGACAGTGTGGGTACAGAACATTTTGTCACTGCAGATAGTCCTACTGGAGAACCCTGCATAGACACTGAGCATCAACAACTGCTCACAGCATAAAACCTAAAAACATTCAAACCTGCTGCCATCAAATTCATTCCAACTCATAGTGAACCTATAGAACGCTGCAGAACTGCCCCGTAGGCTGCATTCTTTAGAGAAGCAGACTTCCTCCCACGGAGCCACTGGTGAGTGCTAACCACTGACCTTCTGGGTAGTAGCCAAGTGGTTAACCATTGTACCACCAGGAATCACATTGCAGAGAATGTGGAAAGCAGATACTACAACCTTCCTGATGAAAGACCAATGAACCACTTTGTGTTCTTTCTAAAGGGATAGAACATGAGTCAGATCAAACCTCTGGATCTATCTGTCCATTTAGAAGAAGCACAGAGGACAGGGTAATCTGCTGACTGGCATAATGAATATATAACCAGAAAAATCCAGATTGTAAGAAATGCTACAGGTCTGTTAATAGGTAAAATATAAGAAAAGAAAGGGATGAGAAGAACCGCCAGATTAGAAGAGATTTAGAATTTTTTTGAAATGTCAAGACTAAACTATAATGTCTGTGGATGGACACCTGGATGAAAAGGTGCAAAGAAATGTTTATATAAAAATTGGGGTGATGGTAGGCTTACAGGTCTGATAGAAACTGGTGACAGCCCTGAGATTATTGTCCCCAGTCATCCATCGGGCCTGGAATTGATCTCACTCCTGTGGCTTCCAGGCAAACAATAGGCCTATAAGGTGAATAACTACACCAGGTAGGTACACTCCTTAGAATAATCAACCATGGTAGATCAGAAAGGCAGTATTTGTACAGGGAAATAGCTCAGAGGGCAGGAATGCATAGAAAATATGGACAAGGGAAAAAGGTAAACACAGGGAGGAAGTGGGAACAGAGCTGCTACACTGTGTGGATTGCAATCAATATCTTGAAACAAAACATATATGAACTGTTCAATGGAAAATGAATATGCTCTGTAAACTTTCACCCAAATCCCAGTAATAAGTAAATAAATAAAGAGGGGAGAGATGTACCTCAGCATTTCCAGCAAGATGGTGGAATAAGCAGACAAGCTACATAGACCCTCTATAACAAACAAATAAGAAACCAATTGAAACAGATACAGAAGATAATGTTGGAAGCCTGAGCTTCAAAGGGAAAGATAAAGAAGTAGATTAAATAGTGACTAGTAGAAGAATCTGAATGAAAACATCCAGTAAGGAGACAAATGGAGCTGAGGACTATCAGCTGGCCTGATGGTGCCATCATGTAGAATATTTGAAGCAGTGTTCCCCAGAAAAATAATCTGATAATCAGCTCTGCTTGCCAAGAACTACCACTGTGATGTCTGATGACCAGAAGCAACTGTCCTCACACAACCCACCCACATTCATACCTCCTGCAACCCTACACACTGGGCAAGACCCACTACTTGCTTCTGCACCAACTGATCAACAATACATGGTGGCCGATACCAGTTCAACCCACTCTCAACAGCTCTACTTGAACAGCTAACAGAGATCTATGCATACATTCTCATGTTCTATCATACCCACCAGGCGAGTGCTTAAGTGCTGTCAAACTAGCAAACAGAGTAGCACACAATCCTGGCTCACTCAGATATATTAAAAAAAAAAAAAAAAAAAAAACTGGCTGAATCATACCAACATACAATCACCAATTAAATATGTATAAAATGACATCAAAATGTCTGAGCAAGAGCTGACAATTCTACTTCACATACAAAGAAGCAAGATTAAGTAGTACAAACAAGGGACCAAAATACAGTCCCAGAAAATCTACTTGAAGAAGAAATTACATTGGAACTACCTGACAAAGAATTCAAAATAAATATATTTAGGTTCCTTCAACAGATTGAGAGACAAATCAAGGAAAACACTGAAAAACTCCAGAACAATTGAGGAAAATCATACAAAACAAACTGACAAGTAAAATATTAGAAACCACACAAAAACAGGAAATAAAATTACAGAAGATTAATACTAAAGTTTTAGAAATGCACAACACATTGAAAGGACAAAGAAGTAAAATCAAAACAATGGAAGACTGAATTAGTGAGATTGAACACAAATCTCTCAATACTACTTTGTTAAGGAAACAATCAGAAAAAAATTCAAAACAAAACGAAGCCTAAGATTTATGTGGGAAACCATCAAGAGGAATAACTTACATGTTAATGGAATTCCAGAACAGGAAGAAACAAATAAAACCTCAGAAAAAAATGTTGATTTGTTGGAAGAGAACATCGCTAATATGATGAAAGACAAGAAGATATGCATTCAAGAAGTTTAACAAACCCCAAGTAAGACAGACCCATAAAGGAAATCACCAAGACATAATCAAACTTACAAAAGCCAAAGGCAAAGAGAATTCTGAAAGAAACACAGGAAAAACGAAAAGTTACACAAAAAGGGCAATCAATAAGACTAAGCTCTGATTTCTCAGCAAAAACCCTGCAGGTGAGAAATCAATGGGATGATATATATATAAAATCTTGAAAGAAAAAGAAATGCAAAGAATTACATTCCAGCAAAATTGTCCCTCAAATATGATGGCAAAATCAGGACATTTCTAGAAAATCAGACCAACATTTCAAGACAGGATAAAGGAAGTCTGTCTTGGTTCTCTGTTGTTATGTGCTGTTGAGTCGCACTCGACTCATAGCAACCCCTCCTTGGGTTTCCGAGGCAGTATCACTATAGAAGTAGACTGCCTAACCTTTCTTCTGAGGAGTGGCTAGTGGCTTTGAACTGCCAGCATTCTGATTAGCAGTCAAGTACCCTAGGCACTACACTGTTTTAGTGCTGCTATAATAGAAATACCATAAGTGGATGGCTTTAACATCCATTTAATTAAGTGATATGAGACATTTATTCTCTTACTGTTTAGGAGGACAGAAGTTCAAGTTCAAAGTGCCAGCTCTAGGGCGTGAGTGAACACCCCTCAACCTTGGGCTTCAGCTTTGCCTCCTTTTCCAGGCTCACTGGAGCTCGTGGCTTTTTCTTGTTTTTTAAAAATTATTTTTAAATTTTTATTAAGATTTGGGTGAAAGCTTACAGAGCATATTCATTTTCCATACAGCAGTTCATACACATTTTGTTTCATGACACTGAATGCAATTCCCCACAATGTAACAGCCCTCTTCTCACTTCCTCCCTATGGTTACCTCTTCCATGTGTCCTTCTTTCCTATGCACTCCTGCCCCCCTAGCTGTCTCCCTAGGCAAACACTGCCCTTCTGTTCTCCCATGATTGACAGTTCTAAGGAGTGTATCTACCTGATGTAAATGTTCACCCTACATGCATGTCTATTGTTTGGCCTAAAGCCATGGGAGTGAGTTTAATTCCAGACCTGAAAAGTAACTATAGGTCATAGTCTCAGGAGTCTCACTAGGCTCTATCAGACCAGCAAACCTTTTATTTTAAAAAAATGATTTTGAGTTTTGGTCCACATTGTTCTCCCACTCTATCCAGTATCTCCTGTACTAATACCTAAGTGATTAACAGTGGTAGCCAGGAACCATCTAGTTCTTCTAGTCTCATGGTCATATAAGCTAAGGATCACGTGGTCTATTAGTCCCTTGGACTAATTATTTCCATGAGTCTTTGGTTTCCTTCATTCTTCTTTGATCTGGATGAGGAGAGACCCACTATTGTATCTTAATAGCTGCTTGCTAGCTTTTAAGATCCCAGTTGTTAC